AATGTTAACAAAGGCCTATAGTGAATCTGCTATAAGTAAAACAAGAGTTTACAAGTGGTATAAGAGTTTCCAAGATGGCCGTGAAGACGTTAAAGATGACGAACGCCCCGAATGCACAAGCACATTAACAACCGATAAAAACATGGAAAGAAATGGTTATAAACCATCAGAGAAGTCGCTGATAATGTTGGTATATCAATTGGCTCATCTCATGAAATTTTTTCGAATGTTTTGGGTATAAAACGCGTGGCAGCAAAATTTGTTCCGAAATTGTAAAACAATACTGTAATGATGCCCCAGCCTCCATATTCGCCAGACATGCCTCTGTCTGACTTTTTCCTATTCCTAAAAATAAAGAGAATAAAGGGCCGTCGTTTTGCAAGCATATATGACATTAAAAGCGCATCGCTGAAAGAACTAAAGGCTATCCCAAAGATCGAGTTTTAGAAGTGTTTCGAGTATTGGAAGAAGAACTGGCACATGTGCATAATATCCAATGGGGACTATTTTGAAGGCGACAACATTAATGTAGACGAATAAATAAATATTTTTTTCAAAAAACCAAAATTCCCGATATTTACAAGCATATTTAATTTATATATTTCTAAACCAAAGCAATATTGCATATACACAGAGAAAAATTTGGTTTAATAATTGTATGAATTTGTTCAACAAATTATTGCTAAAAAAGTGACAGGAACCAATCGCATGTTGCACAACGTTGGGCAATGTATTTAAAACGGATTTTTCTTTGTACTACGGCAAAAATGGTAAAAAAAAACTTTTCGTCTAAGGACACCATAACGCTCACAAGTACCATTTAGCTTTATGAAGGTGTCAGAGGAGGATTTATGAAAGCTGTGACAACCTCATTAAAGCAATTATAAAACATTTTTAATTTTTATTTATTTATAGAAACAATTACTTTATTTAACAGTTATAAGTTTCACTTATTTTACGCTATCTATTAATTTAAATCCATTAAGTTTTTTTATGCATTTGTGTTCATTTTAATAAATCATAAAACTTTCATAATAATAAAACTTGATGATTAAATTAAATTTAACATTTAATAATGCCTATGCTATTTTTCTTTCGTTAATTAGTTATAATAGGTACAATGTGTTTATATATAAAAAATAATAAAAAACCTTAAATATTTTTTTAAAAATAAGTTGATTTGAGTTTATATATGTCCCAAAAAAAATACGTAAAAAATGCGGTTTATTCATAAAAGTTTGTTAATCAATTAAAATTATATGAAAACACAGTTATCGATTTTATGTATTTTTTCAAAAATTACCATTCAACCAAGGTTGTATCTTCACATACCTACTGAAACAGGAATCCTAAAAAAAGTTTCATTCTATAACTTAACCTTGACATTTCGTATTTGTTTTTTCTTAGAAATGAAATCATTTTGATGTTTGGACTTAAAAAATGTTGAGCAAAAGTCACAAGTTAGTTTGAAGCAATATCAAAATTTTAATAAATATACAGGGTGTCTATCTAAAAACAAGCAATGCTCTGTGAGTCTAGACGAAATAAAAAGAAATAATTTTTATAACCATTTATGTAGGTGTTACCAAATTGATTCTATCCTCCGTGAATCTGTTTTTGCTTTAAATTTTATGCAACGGATGGCGCTTTAATCATTTTAAATAAGCAAAAACCTCTGTTTACGACATTATAGATGCATGTGATTCCTGAAGGTCAGTTAGAATTTATATGCAGATGAGAGTGTTGCTGTTTTATAATTCAAAAGTATAAGTTCATTAATTTGCTATTTAAAAACCTATCCACCGTGAAGTGTAATATCTCATTAAGTAGATTTTTTATAAATATTTTATGTTTGTACAATTGTATTTTTAAAAAAATATTAAGGTGTAAAAAGATACAATAACTTATTTCAAATATACAAAGGTATGTTTAAAAAAACATACGAAATCCTAACCTCCGTGAAGCTATCTTCCGTGAAGCTTTAATATTCAAAATGTATGATTTCTTAAAATTCTTGCATTAGTGCAGAACCACTTATGTTATGTTATTACTAGACCTGGTGGCTTCCCCATTCTAGACTAACAGTGAAACAACCAAAAATAAAAAATAATCTTGGGGGACATCTCAACATCCCATGAGTAGTCTTTTATTATTTTAAAAATGTCGCGAAATATATTTTCATTATTAAACAATTTAAATCCTTAATGGAATGTGTATGTTCTTTGTGAATTTTTTATAACAGATTTATAAAAAAACTACTAAAAAAGACTGATATTCATGCTGGTATATGAATTAAAAAAATTTAAACTTTCGTTTTTACTATTTACAATCAAACAATTTAATATTATTATATCACGATTATCTACTACACACCATTAAAGTATTTATAATTTGCGTGTTTAAAATTGTGTTATAAATTATTAATATAACATATAATTATTATTGAGTGGAAATTTACAAAATGAAAAAATAGTATATTATGTATCAAGTTTGATAAACGCAATTTTATACACGAATTGAATTAAGGCACGAGCGAGCTTGCGAGCGAGTGCTTAAATTAATGAGTGTATAGAAAAGTTTATAAACGAGGTGCATACTATACTTTTTCTACGACAAATACTTTTTATTATCTTAAAATGATTTAAATAAAAAATTTGTATAGGCGCCATCTATGAAACAATAGGGGAATCTGTGTGTCACCGTCAAATGTCACATTTTTATATTTTATAAACACAGATTATAAAGGTTATAAATCGAAATGTATTTTTTGAAAATTGACAGTTTTTCACAGTGAAAGTAAAGAAAATGTTTTATGAGGACTTTACAGTGGAGTCCGTGCCCGAATTTAAGTTACAGTTTACTACCGGCGAAATTAAAAGGTCAGTACAATGTTCATATAAACTTTTCAAATATTGGCGTTGAGAAACTAATACTTTTGTATTTTTGTATTGAGATAATAAAATAATTTTCACATTTAGTATTATTTTACAAGAAAGGTACTTTATTTTAACGATTGTATGGCATTTGACAACTGTCAACTAACTTAAAACTAACTTCAGCCCGTGACTAAAGCGCCATAAAGCCACAACTTGTCAATGTGTATTTAAAAGGTCATTTAGTGTCATGGAAATATGTACGATAAAGGGTGTTTTAAAGGTGGGAGTAGAAAAAATGTATTACTGGCTCCGTAAATTTATTAAAAAAAATGCTTTTTTCTTTATATAATAATACAGGGTGTTATGTAATTAATGTAATATATTAAAATACTGAATACCTTTTGACATAAGGTGTAACGGAAAAATATTTAAAAAAATATTTTCCCAAAGATAAAGAAAAAATATGCATTACAAGTATTTTTTGTGATACGCCACTGGTTACACACTTGTGTTCTGTGAGTTCATAGATACCAACCAACAAACTAGCTGCGCGTTGCCAGTTGTAAAAAATTGTTACTAAAAATTTTTCTTGCAAAAAATAAATAAAAACTCAATAAATACAAAAGTTTTGTGCCTTTAAAGCTCTAATAACCTTCTGTATTTATTTACTCATCCAGCTATTAGCTTAAGCAATGATTAGAAAATTTAGTACCTATTTTAAAAACTCCATAACCACAAAATTAATTTTTTTATTACAGTATTCGTTAGGATTGAGTGTTGCACGTTTTTCATCTAAAAATCTAAAAAGTAGAAACTTCAAGCTTCAAATTCCTTTTTTACGGTTCCAATACGACCATTTTTATCGAAGATACAGCTATCCAAAAAATCGCAAAAAATTTAGAATTTTTTTTATCCTTTAATTTTTTCAAAATGTTCAATAATGAAAAATGTAATATATTCTACATTTCACTTTATTATTAATACACATTTTACCTAAAATTTCATTTTGAAAAATTACTCCATTTTTTAAGATTGATGTTATTTATTGACAGAATTTGCTTTATTGTAGCGGATTTAAAAAAAAAACAAAAAAAAAAACGTTTTTTTCTAGGTTTTTTTCATGTTTTTTTCACATCTGAAAAAAAAAAACGTTTTTTTTAAATCTCTACATTAATGTTGTCGCCTTCAAAATAGTCCCCATTGGATATTATGCATATGTGCCAGCTCTTCTTCCAATACTTGAAAGACTTCTAAAACTCGATCTTTGGGATAGCCTTTAGTTCTTTCAGCGATGCGCTTTTAATGTCATCTATGCTTGCAAAACGGTTCTCTTTATTTTTGGGAATAGGAAAAAGTCAGACAGAGGCATGTCTGGCGAATATGGAGGCTGGGGCATCATTACAGTATTGTTTTTGGCCAAAAATGTTGTTCAAAATTTAACAATTTTAGAAAAAATTTTGCTGCCACGCGTTTCATACCCAAAACATTTATCATCATGTTCTTATCGGTTGTTAATGCGCTTTTTTTTGTGCGTTCGAAGCGTTCGTCATTTTCAACGTCTTCACGGCCATCTTGGAAACTTTTATACCACTTGTAAACTCTTGTTTTACTTATAGCAGACTCACTATAGGCCTTTGTTAACATTTCACAAAATTTATTTAATTTTTTAAGCAAAATTGGATACAAATTCTTTGATCCATTTCTTTTAACGAACGAAAAATCGCCGAGCTCATAAAATACGTCTAACCTTAGCGGCTGCCACAGACAAAGTAAACATTGGAAACAGCTAAAGTTTTTATCATACTTCGGGGGCATGTATACCAACATAATAAAGAAAATTGTATGACCACACAATTTTCTGAACACACCTCGTATGTATCATTAATCTGTTTTTAATATATTATAAAATAATTGTCAAATAAAATTATACTAAAAAAATAATATTGACTGGCCCATCAATACTAAAACAACAATTTATCAAGGATAGGATAGCGAAAACATCGTTCAAACACTAATGGTGGTGGTAAGTGCACTTCCACCACGCTAAATATCCAAGAGTGCTAGGCGTCGAAGAGCTCGCGATTGTCAAAAGCGAATGCAAGTTACTTCTTTGATTCAGTGTCCGTCGAACCTTTGAACAATAAAAAACTGCAATATTTAGTTGGTGAGCGGAACCGGCGACTATTAGTGATTTTTTTTAAATTTAATATAAGCATTTTTAAACGCCTTTCTCCACAATGAGGAGTGAATTTTGTGTACTGGTGTTAGCTATATTTGGTAAGTAAGAAAGTTTTTTATTTGGTTGTTATAAAATTAGAAAAATAAATTTAACTTTTAAATAATTTTTTTAATAATGAATTTAGTTTACAAAACACATTTAAAAATTTAAGACAATATATGTATGACAAAAACTTGATAAAAATTAAACATATTTTCCTTATAAAAGCTTATTACAATTTTAATTAAATAAATTGGCAATTAATTTTATTATTATTTAAAATATCTGAGAGATACCAAATGTTTTGGTTTCTACTTTTTGCAATTAATTTAAGCAATTTGTTCATTAATAGAAAAAGTTAAAAATAAGATATCTACAATGTAGATTCTACATAATACATTATGAAATGTTATTTTAATTGGTTTTTATTACCTATCTATAATTTATCTAGTAAAAAAAATTTAAAATTTGGTCCAAATTGCAAAATTAATTTAATGTCAAAAATGGCGAATGGGCCGGGAAACTCCAAATTTTTTGTATTTTTTGTAATTGTATTTATATTTATTTTAAAGATAAAAAAACAATTTTTTAAACTCGTTTTAAAAATAAAAAAATAATAATTTTTTGAAAAAATTTTAAAATTTATTTAAATATATACAGGGTGGGTCATTTTACTCTAAAATATCTCAGTTAGTATACTACTGTTAGTATACAGCATACATATATGCATTTTAAGAAAAAATGTTTTAAAATAAAAATTAAATGATTCGAGGGGGAAATCAATCCGTATTGGTTCTTATAGGGGGGACAGGGGGTAACTAAAAAAAATCACTTTTTTTGGTAATAATTATCTTATTAATTTAAATCTGATTTTTTTAAGTACCCATGGGTACGATTTTTTAACTAATATTTAAGTTTTATACATTATTTTATTCGGTGATAATTATCAATTGCGCACCATGGTCACTTTTTACTTGCCAACATTAAATCCTTTAATTTAAAGGATTATTGTACTATTTTTAATAAAAATACCTTATTTAAGGTGAAAAAAACATTAATTTGTCAATTAATTAGTTTAATCCTATTTGTGGTATAAATAATATTTATTATTGAGGTATTTAATCAATTTAGTTCGAAGATTAATGTGGAAACAAAAAGACCTCCTTTCGTTAAGCAATTATTCATAATGGATTTTTTAACAGTGTAAGAAAAAATTGAAATGATTTTGATTTATGGAGAAGCAGGCAGGAATCTTGATGATGCTGTTAATATCTACCTTCAGCGTTTTCCGGATAAAATTCGATCACGTACTTCATTTCACCGTACAGTCAAGCTGTTTACTCCAAACGGGAGTGTTCAACCGAAAAAAAGAGTTCGTCGAGCAACAGTCACAGGTGGAAATAATGAAATTAATGTATTAGCAGTAACGGCCGCTAATCCTCATGCAAGCACACGAGAATTATCAAGAGATTTGGGAATATCCCAGAGCAGTGTTGGGTTCTTTTTTTTAATTTATAATAGTTTAGTGGGGCTATCGGCCATTTTGGGTGGTATTTAGACAAAATTAACCTCATGCAGCCTCACCCTCCTATGCACTCACGAGCCGCCACTGCTTCGCAACACTGTCAAAAATTCCATCAACAGTGTCTTTTTTCCAGAAACTACTATATGCATAATCTTGCCATAAGTTGTCTTAAATGTTATAGTTTCGTCGAAGAAAAGTTTTTGAAATAGCACGTTAGTATCATTAACTTCTGTTTATTGAACCAATTCGTGTTCTGCAATCGAAAGTTCAGGGTCATGCTTAAAGTGCTCCACTTTCCCTATTTATTAGTTAGACATCGCCTAGCACGATTTTCTGGTCAATTAAATTAATTTTTGAGCGTAACAATTATGCGGTTAATTGTAGCAGATGTAGTCGGGAGATCTTTGTGGTTTCACTTTCATACATATTAAACGGAGAAAATAATTTTAGATTTAATGATAAATATTGTGAGAAATTTATATTTAAAAACATTATAACCAAAATTTAAAAATTGTAACTGATTGAACGCAATTTCAAAGTTTATAAGCACACTATCAAAGTGAAACATCTAAAGGAGATGATACGAAGTAAAAAAATATTTGTTAATTTTAACCAAATTTAATCCTAGTCCTCATAACTTTATGTCAAGTAGTAGTATTTAGTATTTAAAAAATGGTAGTTCTGCTGAAGACCTTATGTTCACTTACACCGTAAGTTTAACAGTGGTTTTATTTTTAACACAGGTTTATTTTTCATAACTGGCTTGCACCGTGACTTAATCCTTGTTTAAATACCTCTAAACTACTGTTAAAATAAACCCTCAATTTCGGTGGTTTAAATTACTTTAATCCATCGTTAACGATTTATAACCTTAAAGGAACTAGTCATCGGTATTCAAGATCTTTTTTTTTTCAAAGATAATATTTATTGACATCTTTAGCAAATCCAATAAATATAGTTGTAGGTATAGAGGTCGGCAACTCTATAATGAGTCACTATTAAGAACCAGAAATATAATAAGAGTATTTGGAATTTGGAAAAAATGGTTTCCATGGTTGGCATATGGCTTAAGATTAAAACTAGATACAGTTTTGTCCATTATTCCAGCTGAAGTTGTACTACATAATATTGCTAGAAACATGATTAAACTAGAGCCGCCATTGATTGATGATATTAATGCCATGAACTGGAGTACCCTGTTGTTACTCATCCACAAGATCGCATTATGTTTCAAAATCAAGATTATTTTGCGAATTTATAAAATTTAATGTGAATAATATTTTTGATGTTTTATTTAATTTATACTTATTTAAAATTAAAATAAAATAAATAGTCACTTCTTGTTTATTATTATAATATGTACATATATTAAGTTTTTCTTTTTCTTATAAAATTTTTAAATCCGAAAGAGTCATTTCTTTTACATCCTTTTTATTGTTAATTTCCTGCTCTAATTGTTTAGCCCTATCTGTCTTTTTGTTTTCAATGATACCCTTGTATCAAGATTAATTAAATGATTTTTTTCATTTTCATATTATTCTCTCTTACCATCAACTGAATCGTACATGAAATAGAATCAAACCACAGATGATAAAGAATCGAACCACATATTATAAAGAATCGAACTCTTAACGTCAAAATATATTTGCGTCACAAATAAGTGTAAAGTTAGTTATTAGCACCAATCTCTTCCATTTTTTAGTCAAATTCCCTAAATCACTAGTTAAATTTTAAACCATAGTAAAAAAATCACGGTGCAAGATTTTGGACACTAATCTCCTGTTACCTTTTAACTTGTCAGTTTATTTTTTACAATAGAGGAGTAAAATGGTTGTTCTTAGCACTTTAAGGACTCTTTTAAGGTTTACTATGAGAGACACAGCGTTTAAAACGATTATTAATCTGTATCAGTGTTTTTTTGTATTTTTAGTACGAGATAGAACAGACCTTGTTGTGTGGATTGTGACTAAGTGTACAACAAGGTTTGTAAAAATACAAAATTACAAGAATTATGGTTAAAATATTGATATAGGATTTTGTTTATTAAATCTACAAAATGTTTGTTATATAATTACAAACTACTTATTCAATTATTTGAATACAGTTGGTTGTAAACTTAACATAAAGTTATGTGTAGCTGGATTAACATAAAATCTAGTTAACATTTGGTTAAAATTAACAAATATATTTTTACTGTGTACAAACTCATGTTAACAAATTTGATTTTTATAACAGTGTAAATTTTCGACAAAAGTTTCGTACCGTATGCCGCTATCGGAGTCTCCGGCTTAAGCGATCGCTATAAAACTCCTGTAGACATTGTTGCCGTTTCATGGTTGTCGTTCCTGCAAACGTGACAGAGCAAAATTACTTTCTCTGAATACGCCGTCACTTTCTCTGCTATGCCATGGCATCGCGCTTTATACAATTAATTATATGTGATTCGATTACATTCATTTTATAAAAAAGGTAACTTGATGTTATATAAATGATATAATGGCCATATATAACTCATATTTGAAAGAGTTTACTCGGCTTGGCTATTATAATGCAAAAACAAAGACAATTTAATAAACTAACCATAGAAAGGTATAGAATTTTTTTTAGTAATGTTTGAAAAATAAATATAATGTTATGAAATTTTTTGTTTATCCCAGGGAACCAACAATTTTTCATGGGTAAAAAACATTTTTCAAAACATTTCCCACTGACAATACGCATCAACAGTTCAACTGACTTTAATGTTTGCAACTTATGTTTCTGCTTACTTTATTCCAATTCGTAACGTGTTCGTAACAACTGTCCAGAGGTGCACTGAAAAAATGTATCCTTAGCCGTTACCGAAAAATTGTTAAATAAGTATAGATTGTTACGGTTGAAATAGGTGACAGCAAATGTTTGTGGTATTTATTACCACAACAAAAATGTTTTTAAGTCTTAGTAATGTTAAATGAGATGTCGTGTTACATATTAACCATTAATAGCTTCTTAAGCCGTACTACAACGTTGTGGTATCAAATAGAATTATCGAATTCTGATAGTAACTACTGCATTATAGTAAGTCTGAACATTCTTTAGTCGTTTGAAATATGCTTTAAGTGAGATATATTTAATAACAACGAAATGCTATTAAAAAGAGTAATATTTATTATTTATTAACTTATAATGGTAATATTTAGTACTTGTATAACCAGTATGTAATAATGTTACGGTATTTAACCAATAATTTTCTTATTTGGTAAGAAGTACTACTTCCAAACGTAAAGTTACCAGATTCTGTCAAAAAATAGAGGGACATTTTGTGTAAATTAACCTTAATTACAAAAATGATACAATTAACAATAATTAAGTAACGTCAAATTTTCAATTTGCATTGTATCATTGTGTTAATTGTGTAATTAAGGTAAATTCATACAAAATGTCCCCCTATTTTTAGACAAAATCTGGTCACTTTATCCAAACGGAATAAATACTGAATTAAAAGGTTATCGATTATCGATTTTTTGGTGTTATGTAAAAGTATGCAGTAAAGGT